GAGAGAGAGAGAGAGAGAGAGAGAGACTATATTCACTGACAGAGAGACGATTATAAATTTATATACATATTAAGCCATCACCAAGTGCTACGATTTAAGGGCTACATCATAAAAACACATCAACTAAACCATAATCCATTTGATAGGTTTTGCTTGAAAGGTAAATAGGAAATCTGATATTGTTTCATAGAAGCATAAAATAGATGGATCAGTTAAATAAAGTTAATATCGAGCATAGTAAAAAAAATTTAAAGATTTTGTTTTGATTTTGTTGTTGTTTGATAAACTATGGCAGATTACTGAAATAAACGTGAATTGTTTACATCGCATAAAAAAGACAAAAAGTTTAATTAAACACTAAAGTAGACCTAAAGAGTGAACCTAAGTGTGTGTGTGTGTGTGTGTGTGTGTGTGTGTGTGTGTGTGTGTGTGTGTGTGTGTGTGTGTGTGTGTGTGTGTGTACGTGCATGTCGTGTGTGCGTTCCAACGTGTGTGTGTGTGGGGGGGAGGGGTAGCCACCTGTGATAAAATGAGGCCACTACAAGCCCATCTCAGACACAACTGGCGCCTTCTAACGTAGCACGCTTCTCTCACTGTTGCCACGGCGACAAGCATGGAAGCTCATGTAGTTGGATGGAGGAAATGCACGTTCATGCATCAAGTGCTAAAATATTCACACGATCTTTATAAATCACACGCATACACACCTTGGCCAATCCCTAACCTCGGCTACGTAATGCAGGCTACCATAGCCGGAAGTTTTCAGACTGCTGATGCTGTGTTCAACATGTGCGAAATGTGAGAAATGACTTCTCCATGCAAATTGTAAATTTGTTACGCCAGTGAAATTGTAGATTATAATGTTGAGTGTTGTGTGTGATTCACAGAGATTTTAGCAGACAGGGTAATTTGAAAAAGGTTCGAAAAAAGAAATCCAAATATGAAAGAAAAAGTGACGTCAAAGGCGAACTTAATGCAAATGTAGATAGTTGATGTTGTCAGAAGAGTTGTAAATGCTTTTACCTGTAATGCAGTCAAATTCCAGTGGATCACAAAATGTAAGGCACATAGCCGCGTATCGCCCTACGCGATAAACTCGAGGTTAGTGCTGAGTACGGAATCGGCCAAGCTGTGCTGAGTGCCAGTAGAACCACACACACACACACACACACGTGCATGCGCACACCGGATGCAACAACACCAACACACACACACGCGCCACACACGCACACTCAACCCGCGCGTGCAATGCATGCACCCAACGCACTTACCTACCTCGTTGGTTTACACACCGAAGACTACGGGTGTCTCATCCCTGCGTGACAACGTTACCCGCTGGTCGAGACGCACCGGTACCCTACAGCGAAGCATGCACACAGAAAATGTTTAAATGTACAATATCGAATCATGCGACGATGAGGACTAGGCTTAGATACAAATATCCGGATATTTTTTTTAGATATTTAGAAGTTTTCGGGATATTTAGAAAAATCTGGATATTTAGAAAATTCTTAGAATTTTTAGAAGATAAAACACAATTTTCTCAAATATTAAGGATTTGTAAGGATGAGTTTGTCCTTTTCTGTTAAGAAAAACCATCCAGCGGTGCAAACTGTTTTCAAAATTTTTGGGAATTTTTTTTTCGCACAAAATAAATATGTTTAAAAGACATTACGTTGAAATACCTGAGATATTTAGAAAAAATTGGGGATATTTAGAAAAAAAATTGAGATATTTAGAGATTTTTTGGAGAATTTCCGGAAAGATATTTAGGCAATTTTTCGAGATATTTGTATCTAAGCCTATTGAGGACACGTTCATATCAGACACAGAGAGGTGCGGAGGGGGATGCGGCTTCCACGAGTATACGCGTGTGTGTCCACAACATCGACGCACGAGCCATTCTCTGTGCAAACGGAAATAAAAAAAAGCATGTATAGCAACATTGATAAATGACATAAATATACGCGAATCCATTGAACCTGCGTTAGTGGTGACTGCTGTGGAATGGACATAAGGACAGAGATGTCAACACATATTTGAAGCAATCTGTAGTTTCTGGCCATCAAATTAGTAGTTTGAGGGTCACGTAGTGACCCGAGTTTGCTAGGGAGGTCCGGCATGCCCCCCGGAAAAAATTTTGATTCTGAGATGCAATTTCCTGCAGTCTGAGGGTCAAAAATGACAATAAATTGACAACAAATGCCAATAATTGACAAAAAATAATATTTTTTCGATCACAGTGAAATTCGTAGTTTGATACAAACTGGTCGTAGTGGTGCAAGAGGAATAGAAATTCGTATAAAATACGGATAAATCGTAGTGGTTGGCATCTCTGTAAGAACATGTGTGAAGAAGAGGACAGTTTTTGGGGTTTTCCTTGAGTGACATTTACGTAGTTATACCGCCTCTATAGAACGAATACATATCTGTGAAGGACACTTGAAGGTTCACCTGAGTGACCCATATATATATTACATATATTATACATACAGGTTTGACTGTAGTGTAAATCTTCACCATTAGATCGATCGGTGGAGGGGCTTGGGATTATCTGTGCAAAGATCGCACCCAAACCCACTTCAACACCCACTACCCTTCCAGCCCCTACCACTAACACCGAAGTTAAACGCAGTAATTCATGGAAACGGTCGTGAAATGGCAGGTATATTACTGTGACATGCACTGCGGTGTTACGTCACCCTAAAATACAAACACTTACGTGGATCTCGCAACCATATTGTTTTGTAACATTGAAATCATGCATAATTCACACGGACGGATACAAACAATATATATCCAATATCCTATTTATATCCAATCATAACATACACGAGTGTTGTGTGCGGCCACATTTCAGTTATTTTTGTACAAAGGTTAACATATGTCTACATGCTCGTATACTTGTCACAATTGATTAGTGACCTTAAACATCGAAGGTGGAATGAAATACGTATAGTGAGAAGTACTATATGCATTGAATGCCACAAGCACGCTTTATTGCCTCCGAAATTCCGAGTGGTACTGAAGTCATACATTTCGGCCCCTTGTAAAGGCAGGCAGGTTTTTTTAGGGTAGGTTAGGTTAGGGGTTAGGGTATTTTAGGGTAGGTTAGGTTAGGGGTCAGGGTATTTTAGGGTAGGTAAGGTAAACGTAGGTTAGGTGGTCAGGGTATTTTAGGGTAGGTTAGATTAGGGGGTCAGGGTATTTTAGGTTAGGTTAGGTGTGGGGTCAAGGTATTTTAGGGTAGGTTAGGTTAGCCATCAGGGTATTTTAGGGTAGGTTAGGTTAGGGGGTCAGGGTATTTTAGGGTAGGTTAGGTTAGGGGGTCAGGGTATTTTAGGGTAGGTTAGGTTAGGGGGTCAGGGTATTTTAGGGTAGGTTAGGTTAGCCTAAGGCGTCAGGGTATTTTAGGGTAGGTTAGGTAAGGCCTTTAGGGTATTTTAGGGTAAGTTAGGTTAGGGGGTTAGGGTATTTTAGGGTAGGTTAGGTTAGGTGGTTAGGGTATTTTAGGTTAAGGGGTTAGGGTATTTTAGGGTAGGTTAGGTATTTTAGGTTAGGTTAGCCATCATGGTATATTAGGGTAGGTTAGGTTAGGGGGTTAGGGTATATTAGGGTAGGTTAGGTTAGGGGGTCAGTGTATTTTAGGGTAGGTTAGGTTAGGGGCTAGGGTATTTTAGGGTAGGTTAGGTTAGGGGTCAGAGTATTTTAGGGTAGGCAAGGGCGTACCCAGAATTTTGTTGATAGTACGCAAAATTGCACTCAAATTTGTCAATTGTCACACAGGTAGCCCAAATAGACAAAAATGGGAAATTTTCAGTATTGTAAGTCTAAAGCATACTTAATTGGGGTAATTATCATATCCAATAAGAAATATATTTGACGTCTGCATGATTTTATTTTGTTTTAGTAAAAAAATAATGTATTTTTTTATTCTGAAAAATTTCAGTACGCATTTGCGTACTTTGCGTATAGGTAGGTACGCCCCTGGTATAGGTTGGGATGTGGGTTATTTACGCACCCGGCAGTTAGATGCGATATGATATGACTACTAGGCACTTAGGATATGACTACTAGGCACTTAAAAAAAAAAAAAACCCTAACCCTAACCCTAACCTAACCTAAACCTAACCTAAACCCTAACCCTAACCCTAAAAAAAAAAAAATTAAATTAAATTAAAGTGCCTAGTAGTCATATCATATCGCATCTAACTGCCGGTTGCGTTATTTACACTCACCTGGCTCACTATAGTTTCCTCCGTGCGCCCGATCGCTTGCAGCCAGCGCTCGCGAAGCACAGCCGGCTTCTTCGGCACCCGGTAGAAGTGGCGGTTGTCCTCGGAACCACGGTAACGAGATCGGAACTTACAGTTCGGGAAGCCACACGTTGTCGGCATGTTCGTTGCCGGGAGAGCATGCGGCGGCAGGGCAGGGCGCGTCGGTCCCGCGGCGGCAGTCACAGGGATGGTGATCTACACAAAGGACAACCATAATAGAAAGGTCAGCCGACAAACGATTCACAACGCTACGCGAAAGACACATAGAAATATAAATAGAAATATAATAATAATAATAATAATAATAATAATAATAACAAGAGCCGCAGATAATAATAATAACAAGGTCTGTTGCCACCGTTATAAACGTAACATTTAAGTCGTGCGTAGTGACACCTTTGTTAGGCGCAGATATGCAGATACGCAGTTGCGTACACATCATTTCAGCAACCTTCTGCATTCTGCATACCTCCCAAATTCCATTGGTTGATACAAATCACGTGCCTGAAACTCCTGTTTTATGGTGCATTGTGACCCTAAACCTATTAAAAAAAAAAAAAATTTAATTGTTGTAAAAATTATTTGTTGTTATGAAATTGTTGTAAATAAATCATGTAAATATTTGCGTTAATTGGAAAAAAATAGTTAACTGGATAAAGATAGAAAAATACAAAAAACAAGTAAATAATAAAAAAATCTGATGGGATTCAATCCAAGGACCTTTGAGCCGTAATCCTGTGCTGTAGTCGTTGGGCTATCCAGGCTTATTGGCTTTCTAGATTATGGATGTGCCATGAATATGAGAACACTGTGACATCATTGAGGCAGTTCAGGAATCCATGTTTAACCCTCCTCTTGAGGGTCAAAAGGTTATCAGACACTTACTCTTCGCACGTCAGTCGAAAGCACATTTCATGGTCCTTTCAATAAAGTGATAAATATGGTAGGTCAGCGCTGAAACAAAAAGGTTTTTCACTGTCCGTTAGGCCATGTCCTCAGAAAATGTCTGATATCTGACCTTTCCCCCACTGCCCTTTGACCTCCAATTTCGCACTGGTGATGGGTTTCCTGCCCATCACACTATACACCGAATATTAAGAGCATAGGTCGAGCGGTTAGGATTTGTGCCTAACTGTTCACCCACGAACGGACGGACGGACGCACGGCCGGACGGACGCAAGGACGGACAATCATTCGATTCTACAAGCTGCATCTGACTTCGTCAGATGAGCTAATAATAATAACAATAGGACGGTGAGCCGACAAACGATTCACTACAATTCTCAACACGTGGGTGGCGCTCGCTGAATAACGTTAAGGAAGGTGCATGTGTGGGGAGGAGGTGTAGTAACGAGAAGAGCATGTGTGGGGAGGAGGTGTAGTAAAGAGAAGAGCATGCAAGAGAGAAGCAATCTACGTAAGGCCATCCTTAAAAAATTCTATGTTTGCTGTCCCCGACCCATGATTTTTTTAGTGGGTAGGTAGGTAGGTCATTTTTTGTGTGAGGCATAATAGTCTGTCCTTATGTTTGCCACACATGCTTTGTGTTTCAGTCTTAACTATAAAAAATGTAAAAAAATTAAAAAAAATTAAAATATGGAACCCAAAATGTCAAAAAAAAACTTTTGGGTCGCGGCTATTTTCGTGGGTCGGTCGGAGGACAGCAAACATATAATTTTTTTAAGGATGGCCTAACAGACACAGATAAGGTTGCTGCGGTCGGTACTACTACTAGTTTTCTCTGAATATCATGAAGAAAGATGCATGGTGGGGAAGGGGGGCACCCTAACGTGCCAGCAAGCTGTGAATCACAAACAAACAGGAAGGACAATCGATGGAAGATTCACAATGCTCACAGAATGCGACGGTAGACTGCACATCCAGCAACAAATGTAGGAGCGTCAATGTACATATCGGAGACGCAAACACGGTTCGACCAGTAACGGTCAGAAAGGCATGGGGGTAGATAGGAGGGGCGGGATATAGAGGCAGCCACACGGCAATTAGCTTTTTTCCCCACTTGGAACACGTTTATTGGATTTTTATGATGATAATATTAGGAGTAATTCCATTTTATGATAAGTCCATGTTAAAACTAAACTGTTAGTGATCGTTTCACCAACTGGTCTAGCTGTCTTTGTCAAGCTGAAACTATATTCACTGTGATAAAAATAACTAATTAAGTTGCCGAAACTTAATTTGTTAACAAGTTAATTGGTTGGATATATCATTAAGCAAAATTATTCTGGTTTTCACTGACCAACGTCGAGAAAGAAACATGCACTGGATGTGCTGGTGGTGGTGACGGTGGTGGTGGCAGCGGTGGTGGCAGCAGTGGCGCTGCTGCTGCTAGTGGTGGTGGTGGTGGTGGTGGTGGTGGTGCTGCTGTTAGTGGTGGTGGACTGGTGGTGGTGGTGGTGCTGCTGCTGCTAGTGGTGTGGTGCTGCTGCTGGTAGTGGTAGTGATGCTGCTGCTGCTAGTGGTGGTGGTATGGTAGTGGTGGTAGTGGTGTTAGTGGTAGTGGTGGTGGTAGGGGTGGTGCTGCTGCTGCTGCTGCTGCTGCTACTGCTAAACAGTACAGACACCCACACAAGCACGGCTCGTAACACATGGGCAGCGAAAGCGACGCCTATGCTACACGACTGGAATCTAGCAGGTGCGTTACTCCCGTGTGTACGTATTGCCACACTAAAGTATGGGTACACACTCCGCACGCAGCCTAGCAGGCAGAGACGGAGCAAGAGAAAGAGATAGATAGAGAGGGCGAGATAGAGAGGGCGAGATAGATAGTAAATAGATAGACAGATAGACAGATAGATAGATAGATAGATAGATAGATAGTAAATAGATAGACAGATAGATAGATAGATAGATAGATAGATAGATAGATAGATAGATAGATAGATAGATAGATAGATAGATAGATAGATAGATAGATAGATAGATA